TATTTTTACAATAACTATCGTGAGAAAAACTGAATTAAATAAAAATAATAGACATAGGCGAGTAGGCTGCGCAACGTCGCCGCGACCGCGCACGCTGTTCATGAAGAAGAGCCCCTCTGTGACTCGAAACTAACAGAGAATTTTTCAGTATATTTAGGTAAGTAAAGGTAGGTTTAGGATTTCATATTGATTAAGTTACCTATAGAATATTTGTGGAATATATCTCCAAATGTAACTGTTCAGTAAAAATGTATGATCTATGTTTGGGTATGTTTGTATCTCATTTATCCCAATAACTTCCAAAGCTACCCAAAATATCCACCAATTGAACCAGTTCACGTAACAATAGATAACTAGCCTATTTGTATTGTAACTTTCGTGAGACATACTAAATAAATTATTATGTTTTCGGCTTACTCACGTAGTAATTCGACGAGGAACTCGACTAGTTTCAAGCCATGCTCGAGGCTCATATTCATGAGCAGCATTTCGCGAAGTGCTGCTCACTCAAACAGTGAGTTCGTGTTTCGAGTTGTGTTTCGAGTTGTGTTCGCGAGTAGCAAACTCAGTGTTAGCACATGCATGTTCGTAATTCCCGCGAATGTGTGAATACGGTATTATAAATAAAAACAAAAGAAACTTTAAAATAACATATTCTGCTATATTTAACTCATTGCAATCCCTACAACTGACACCCTCGTTCTTAAATGACGGTCGAGCTGACCGCCAGCTAATGGGAACACTGTGGACCGTTTTATCACAGTATAAATAGCTCGAGGTAACATTTAATTATGTTGATGCAGCTCGGAGAGGCTTTTTAAATGTGTCTGTATATATTTTTAGAATTGATTACTGAATAAGTGATATAGGTTCAGTTCAAATTGTGGCTAGAATATTTCATTTCTTTTCATTTTTTCATTTAAACCAAAAAAACGTTGCCTCACACTAGGATTTCTCCTGTGTCATGGGTGCGTTTACAAACATACAAGTTCACACATACATGACACCTAGACTCGGAATAACAATCTGTGGATCACACAAAAAGTTGTTCTGTGCGGAAATCGAACCCACGACACGTTGCGCGATAGCCAGTTGCCCAACTACTGCACCAACCATGCAGTCATATGATATACTTTAAAGGGAACTATATGCAACCATTCTTTGCAACGTATTTATGCATAAATTCCGCCGAACATGTTTACCAAAGTTGTATCAAATTATTTTGTCTGGATAAATATGTCAATTTGTAGAAATATTACAACATTAACAAGCAAGGATTTTTTATTAAACCTAGCAAAAAACACCGAAAATACAATGTCTGATAATTATGTTCCAAAGTCATGCCTTTAACTCTGTAATTAAGGTAATTACGAAATATCTAAGGAATAGGAAAACATGCCATGCATGCTCCTCGTTATTTTGATTAAAAAATTAGCTCTAAAATAAACTACAGAATCCAAAGATTCTACTATAAATAATCATATAAAACCTTTTTACAACATGTTTACATTGCAAATGGACTTACTTGGAACTCATAACACAAATAGTGAAAAGTGGGTGTTACATTGTACAGTGGCATTAAGTGCCGTAATGTGTACCTCTGCCTACCGGGACGGGCGGACGGGGTACCGTCCGGGATAAAAGGCGTGATTTTATGTTATGTTATGTTTACATTGCAAATTCTAAAACCCAATAACAACAACCTCCACCCACAAAAACCCGTAACAGAAACTAATAACTGTAACTTAACTATAGAGAAGTGGGAGTATTAACCTCACTCCCAAACCCTAACAACTTACCCCAAGGCATTCGATACCTATCAATTATGATCTACAAAATAAAATGTTATGGACACCGTCTGGTTTTCTATTACAAATTATATGATATCATCTTTCTAGCCGGCGGTGGGGGGTTAATAACATCACACTGCGATCAAATAAGATGGCTATCGAGATAATTATAAGATGATACTTTTAATTATACGAGCTGTGTTTTTTTTAAGTAATTTGTTTATTTATTTTGTTTATTGACAGTGACTGTTTTGACGCCCAGTTTTTTTTTAAAGTGAAGTTTTAAAGTGACGGTAATTTTTTTTAAAGTGAGTTTATTTTGTTTTTCAGTTTCGTATCGTTCTTTTTTATTCACTGTTTTAGTTCTTTTTAAGCTGAATATTAATTCATACTCGTGTTATTTAAGATTCTCGTTTTTAATTTGAATATTAAACCACATTTTATGTTTGTCTTGGTTTTTAGTAGCATGTGTGTAGATAATTTGGTTGTGTAAGTTCAACGACTTCAGTAACTATCAGCTAGATAACAGTCGGCGTGGAGGACTAAGGAGGAGTCCTATGGTCAGTAGTGGAAGTTTTCCAGCTTGTGATAATGATGATAACCATAACATTTATTGATGGCAATAATACTCAAACTTATGAAGTACTCACGAAAGTGATAAGAAAGTCGGATGTTACTTATGGTCGTGCCGTACAAAGCAAAATCCTTACTAATATTATAAATCGGATAGTGAGTTTGTTTGCTTGTTCCGCTTTCACGCCGTAACTACTAAACTGATTGCTTTGAATTTTTGCAGACGTAAAGTTAGAAGTCCATTTAGGATAGGGTACATTTTATCCCGGAAAAATTTGATATTCCCGAGGGAAAACAAAAGTATTGGTATAGATGGCGCTGTATGTATTCGTATATGTCACATAGGCTACTTATATCCTTTTGTGACGCGAGCGAAGCCGCAGGTAAAAGCTAGTTTTAAAATATTTTTGTTGTCGCTGTACTTAGTTACCGTTAACATCACTTATATACTTAGGTAGATACAACATTGTTGCGCTATGTTCAGATGACCACGCGGTACCGCGCGTCACCGCGCAGTAGGTGACCAGCGCGCGGCTCGAACAACAGCGCGCGTTGCCGCGTAGTACCGCGGAATCATGTGGACGGTCCTGGCTGCTTACTTAAATCTTGTACCGCGTTGCGAATATTTCCTCGCCGTGCCGCACGGTCATCTGAACTTAGCCTTATTCTTCTACGATCTCCGGCCACCGTAAGCGTGGGTGTACGGACGGCGAACATGGGTGGCTCGCCGCCCTACCAGAACCAGACCAAAGCGTACGGTGACCACCACGTATGGGGCCAATAGGGCTGATGCCGATAGCGGTAGCGGTACCCACGTATGGGGCCAATAGGGCTGATGCCCCATACGTGATCCCTAGTACCAGTCCCTATGGACTTAACGGGTTGCCGGGGCTTCGGCTCGAAAGGCAAGAGTAGGATAGGGTTGGCTTTTAGTCAGTAAGAGTCTGACACTCCGTCCCGCCTCACGCAGGCGGGAGCAGCCTGCATGCAGCATGATTTCCCCCCTTAAAAAATAAAATAAAAAAAAGCCTTATTCTCCTACGAAAACTGAATGGCGGATTTTCCAATGTTCATCATTATAAACATTTGATCATGTTTTTGGGCGACTGTATCCTGTCATTATATAACATGGTACTATCGCCCCCGTATTCCCACAAGACATTCAATGATGTTCAAAACACCCACATTTCACTAATAATGTTCCATGTAACATAGAACTTAAAAGAAACAAGAGACATATAGATAAACAAGACCAAATTACTTGAAACACTATAATTGTAAAATGAACATTTGAACACTGACATAAAATATGAAATCAAATAAGTCACGATTCACGGAACAAATTTTTGTGTGATCCACAATTTGTCGATTTGGGTTTTGTTTTGTAAACAAGATACAGGAAAAAACTCTAGTCTGGGAGAACTATATCACAAAAAAAAAATTTGTAAAAAATATTTTGCAATGCAACACTGTTTACTTCGTTCAGAATAAAAGGCACGATGTTAATGTCACGAGAAAACTGTAAAAGACTTACTTATGTAGGTCACAGGCCGATATGACAAGCGTACAAGATTTTATGGAGTAAATAAAAAGGCTACGCAACCGCTACGGAGCGTGACGTCACTACTACGGCGGCTACAGCGTCGTAGCCAATAACCGTGCTACGATTTCTCGTAGTCATTTCTTTTACGTACGTGCTTAGGGGCTAAAGTGTGAGAAACGTGTTTTACTTTTATTTCTAAGTTAATAGGAAACGATTTTAGATTCTAGATTTAACGATGAACGCTGAATCTCTTTTAGAAATATATGGGGCAAGCGTCTTCAATATCCTCAAAGGATTGGCTACGTTCGGATTTAATGTTGAAAGTTTTAATAATATCAGAGTTCGCACTATCATCGAGATTTGACCTGATTTCTCATATGAACTCCTTTGAGAAAACCTATGTTTTTGTGTCTGTGGGTCATACAAATATACAGAGTGTAAGAGAAATGCTTCCAAAAACTAAGACAGGTATTGTTAAAAAGCTGTTATTTTTTTTTGAGTAATAAATTCAATGTTTTTTTTTATGTAATAATAATAATTGTAATCAATGGCTCAAGACTGATGTTGCATAAATAACACGAAAAAAAAACGCTAAAATTTGTAAAAACAAGCCCTCTTTGTCTGCTTTTTCTGAAAACCCTCTGTAAAATGAATCTATAATTATCTTAAGCTGTAATTTCACCCTTTAACTTGTTAAAACTTACCTCTGTAAATTTACAACTTAAACAAAATAACTTAGTCTACTTATCTATCTAATATAAATGAATATATAATTTTCGCAGCTTCAGATGTAGGCCTAGCTAAAATACCATTAAACATTCCAACATCCATTACTGACAGTTTCATGGAGTTGAGCAGTGCATTCCACCAACACATGCTGCACGTCGTTTATTCTGCCACACATCTCACAATTAGGGGAAATTTGTTATATAGAAGCACGATGGGATTGGCATCGTCACAAAATGTGTACAAAACTGTGTAGAAAAAATCCCTTACAATAAATGAGATCAAAAAAACCTCTGTAAATAACGGCACTAGATTCTTCGACGAGCAAATATAATTTAATAAATTTTAATCAATTATTTGTATCTTACCAGCAACTTTGGAGTGGTACGCCACTCCGACGCCGCACACACCGTTGTCTCTCGCTGCTGCAACCTCCCCTGCACATCGCGTGCCGTGACTGAGAAAAAAAACTATCTTTAATATGCATAATACAATTGATCCAACTAAACTATGTTATCAACAATTGCATGATAAACTTGAAGAAGAGTAACCATAGAGTTTCTTGTTGATTCTTCTCCATAGGAATGTACACTTGAGAACAAGCTAGCGAGCGTCACTCATTGGAGGACTGATGGGCAGACTAATTCTTTGTATCTTATTCAACGTTAAAAAGTGCCTTCTAGGTCTAATTGAAACAAATGTTTTTGATTTTGATGCATGTACATACATACGTACTTGACGACAATACTAGTTTAACAAAAATCGCGGGTTACTCACGTGAATATACTAAAAAAAGCTCTCCGCGTTCGCGTACTTTGCTCATGAGAAAGGACCCCTTTGTGGTTCGAAATTAGTAAAGCTCTTCTAAGTATATTCACGCGAGGAATCCGTGTTAATACTAGCTTATAATAAACTATGCTTAAGAGGCCTATGGTCAGATGTCACACAATATTTCAAAACTCTTAAAGGGATGATAATAGGCAAAGTTATTCGCCTATGTTATTGAAAAAAATATTGCTCCGTTGCGAGTTGCGATGTGTAAGAAAAACAAAAATGTAATTAGTCCGTCAGTTAGGTAATGAAAAAATATTACAAAGGTTTTTTTATTTTGTCGTATAAGAAAACAATACCTAGATAAAACGAATCAAAGTTTAGGAGTGGGAGGTAGCTACGTCATTTTAGAGTAAAAATCGTACTCAAAAGTGAAGTCATGCGATATTTGAAATCTTCGAAACTATTCGTTTAAATAAGAAATTAAGTACGTGTCTAATGTTTTAAAATAATCTACCAGACGGACATTGAAATAAAAATTAATCATCTACCCTATTATCGGAGTAGTTAATATTGGTGTGTATCTTGTAAACAACAGATATTTCAGCCTATAAAATAAAATCAACTACAGTTTGTTTGTTCTAATTCTGAGAAAATTTTGTAGCTGTAATATTTCGTTTAGTTAATTGGTTATTCGTTTATTTGTTTATACAGAATTTGGCAATAGCTCTCATAGTTTCGATTAAAACTAATAAATTAACTGCTTTCAAAGCCAATCGTTTATCGACAACTGATTTTAATTAAAACTTTCATTCACTGGGGTTTGTTATAGTTAATTTTACTGTTCAAAGATTGACTTTAGGTTATCTATTCAACCTATATTATACTCTTGACCTAATTTCCATTAGTCTAGGATTGGACTAGCCTAAGCGTCGGTTTCACTCCTTCGTTTAAACACCCGATAAACTATGTGACAAATAGTTCACACATATTACACCTCAAGATTATTTTCTTTTTCCATCTCCTTGACCAAATATTGGTATTACATTGTTCTCACATTATTGAACTCAACGAAATAATGTAACCAAAAATTGTATTGTGAACATGATTGAAAAAGAGTAACCTATGGAGTTTCTTGCTCGTTCTTCCCCATAGGAATCTACACTTTGAAACGAGCAAATAGCTTCACTAGAGGACTGACCTTCAGACTGACATTTTTTCTTATTATTTAATATTTAAATATTTTGTTTTGACGTTCAAAAGTGCCTTCCTAGTCTAATTAAAATAAATGATATTGATTTTGACTTTGACTTTTACATTTTCAGTTCAAAGTGTGGTACTTATCGATTATCCAGACATTGTTAACAGGCCCTAAAATAAGTAAACGAGTCGAAATATGACTACAAATAACACTCAATACATTTAATTAATACATCTAGACACCTTATGATTCTTTTCTTATGTATAGTCAACAGCGGGGGTTTTGACTAACTCCTCTAAAAGAAAGGCTTTTATTCAGATATATGAATATAGTAAGAATTATATTTTATTATGTAATTGGGCTTTAAACTCATATTCTATTACAAAGCTTTAAAATGACTGCCTCGATGGGGTTTCGGGTTCTAATCCCGGGTCGGGCAAAGTATTATTGCGTTTATAAAATTCTCAGTAGTAGCACGAAGTCTGGAATTGAGCCCGGTATATGGCAATAGGCTCACCCCCTATTACATGAAAAGAGTTACATTGTACAGTGGCATAATGTACACCTCTGCCTACCCCTTTTTTTTTTGAGGGGTGAAAATCATCCAATGACTTCTCCCGCCTGGGTGAGGCGGAAGGGAGTGTCAGACTCTTACTGACTAAAAACCACCACAGGAATAAAAGGCGTGATGTTATGTTATGTGTTCTATTTCAAAGCAGTTAATAATAAAATTGGTGAAAACGTCTTGTTTAACAATAATACTGGTAGATGTGTTATAAGTATACATTTCAAACCATAGTTAGATTTGAACGGTTCCATCAAGTTTCCTTATTTGTAGAACTATTTCACTTAAAGAGCTGACTTGATGAGTTTGAGTTGTCAAATAGAAGACTCGAGACGCTGGAACTTGTTCGAGCATACTTGAGGACTAACTTTTATGAAGTGTTGATTTTAATCAAAGTACTAGCTAAATTATTGTAATGAAATCAAACGACAAGAAAACTTTGCTCAATCTTTTTATATGGGATAAGCCGGTAAACGAGCACATGGATCACATAGTAAGCAATCGGCGTCGCCTATAGATACCTGGAGCACCAGAGACGTTACAAGTACGTTACCGGTCTTATGGGGATTAGGGGTTTGAGGATCGTTGGGGATTCAGGGATTGGGGAGATTGGGGAAGGGGAGGATAATTGGGCCTCCGGTAACCTCACTCACACGACGAAACACAATGCAAGCGTTGCTTCACATATATTTTTCGATTCCGATACTTTTTTTATGGAATGAGCCGGTAAACAAGCACATGGATCACACAGTAAGCAATCGGCGTCGCCTATGGACACCCGGAGCACCAGAGTGGAGAGTATAAATCTATAGCATTTAAATTTTTTGTCGAAATATGGACACTGAAGAGATATGAGAACAATCAAAGAAAATACACACAGGTTATTTGAAAGGTGATATGAGTTACAAAGGAGATATGATAATAGGTAAGACAGCTGCCAGAGGAAAAATACGAGAGAAAAGCAAACAATGACCACATGTACCCTTTGTCACGGATAGGAAAAAGGGGATTTGAAATGTATGTAAAAGGGTTTACCCCTTTCAAAATACTTAGTAGGTAATGCGTTGAAGTTAGATACAACCATAACACCACGCCTTTTATTCCGAAGAGGCAGGCAGAGGTGCACATTACGGCACTTGATGTCACTGTACAATGCAATTCCTTCTTTTAATTATTTATGTTACGAGTCCCATGTAATAGAGAGTGAGCCAATTGCCATATACCTACTGGGCACAATTCCAGACTCCGTGCTACTACTGAGATTTTTTTTAAAAAACGTTTTAATACTTTGTCCGATCCGGAAATCGAACCCGAGACCCTTTGCCCTGCAGCAACCACTTGGCCAACGAGGCCATATTATAATATATATGAGAATATGACAATACTTACGTCTGGCAAAAAGGCTGAGTGACCGGTTGTTGAAATAAAAGTATCCTATCACGTGTATCGAGTTCGATTTCAGCATGGAGAAGTTATTTGTATGATCTTTAGATCGTTGTTCCGGGTCCAGGTGTAATGTTTATATGAATGTGTGCCTGTAAATGTGCTATCGGCACATCAGAAATTTCTAGTGTCCGATAAATAAACTTACCTACTTGAGATTATCGGTCTGCTAACATATCTGGCGAAAACTGAATCACACTAAAACCACGGCTTCATCTTCTTTTGCGACAAATAACTAACTCTTGATAAAACAACTCACATCACACTAATAATTTAAGTAAGGATAAGTAATTCTAAGTTTGGATATTTGGTTGTTTGGATGTTTGAATATTTGTATATTTGGATGTTTGGTTGTTTGGATGTTGGGATGTTTGGATGTTTGGATGTTTGAATGTTTGTATATTTGGATGTTTAGATGTTTGAATGTTTGTATATTTGTATGTTTGGATGTTTGTATGTTTTGATATTTGGATGTATGGATGTACAAACATCATTGACGTACAAACGTCAATAACGCTAACGAAACGAAACTACCGAACTGATTTTGACGAAATTTGGTTCACAGGCAGGATATGAACTATCTAGGACATTTTATTCCAATTAAATGCTCCCATGAGATAAAACAGTAATATATTATTCTACGCGGACGAATTCGCAGGCAACAGCTAGCCATGGTATCAAATAAAGAGAATAAACCAACATCAACATCAATCTTCAAATGAAACATCCACACGAGTAAACTCAAAAGTAAATACTACCTAGGACTAACATTAAATAAACTTAATTTAATCGAGTTTACAGTACCAGTACCTACGTGCTAACTCTGAACTCGGTCGTGTTGAATACCAATTTATTTGTATTCAAACTGAAATTACGTTGAAATGACTTCTAACTCTTTTCATATGAATTGTGGAGCCTGAACTAATAACTTTTGATACTGTTTTGGGACTGTTTATGATAGTTTGTTTTTTATTCAAATATGATATTGGTCTCATCATCATCAACAGAATATAAGTCCCCATTAGTGAACAAAGCCTCTTCTCATACGGAGAAGGTTTGCACATCATTAACATACTACACTAATTACTATCGTCGTATCGTGAGACGCCTGCTTATCATGCACGAGGGTGCGAGTTCGAAACCTACCAACGGCAAGTACCAATGTAACTTTTTCCGAGTTATATATACTTTCTAAGACTATTTAGACACCATTGATCAACGGTGAAAGAAATCATCGTGAGGAAACCTGGGCTTATAATTTATAATTATAAGTTTGAAATCGCCAACCCTCATTGAGCAAGCGTGGTGATTAACGCTCTAACCTTCTCCATGTGAGAAGAGGCATTTCTCAGCAGTGGGCATTTATAAGCTATTGATGATGATGATGATGATGACTAATTACTAAATATTAGTCTAGTAATGAAAATTTGTGATAGTTGATCATTTTTTTTTTTACTGTCAAATAATGGTTTTTATCTCACAACGTTTTTCTTTTAACCAATTATGTTTCGTGTTCCGTGCAACAGAGGGTAAGTCAATTGTCATATACCAGACACAATCCATAGACTAGGTGATACCAGTAAGACTTTTAAAAAATTGAAATAAAAGTAATACTTTACTAGACCCGAAACAGTGACCCTTGCTCGACTAGTATTTGTTTAGACATCTCCACCAACGAGGGTATTGCAATGACTAACTTCTAGATAAGACCAATTAGCCTGTCTAAAATATATATTTTATTATAATAAACACGTCACTTTCAAAATTACTCTCCACAGGGACTAGTCATAATTTGTCATACAAATTAATTTGAATAGTGGTTCTATTCAAATGTAATTGCAAATAATGAATCTAAACCAATTTGTTTTATTAAAGTTTTGCGGCAAAATTAACATTTAACATTTAATATTCTGTGGCACCACACAGTTCCCCGTATTTAATCATATTGCTGTTTAATACGGCTGGATTATCATTCATTTGATATTATTGTCACATTGTGGTTGCAATCAGGGATAATCAATGATGATAAATACATATTTGTTTAACTATATACAGCTCTAATTAGTTTCATTGTCATCCTTTTTTTATTACACTCAGTAGAAAGATAAAAATCCTTATTTTATTGGATTTGGGTTTTGTGTAGTTGTTTGATCGTTTTATAATCATCTAAGTATTCGATTTAGATTTTGTGATTGTTGAATAAACGACTGTGAGACCTGCTGTATACAGCGCGTCAATTGTCTAATGTATGTAACCTACAAATGACAGTTGACAGCCTACAAAATAATCTTTGCTTAGACACAATGAGAACTGAAAAATGTAGGCCGCTTATCGTCATTTGCATGTGACATGCATTCGTCAAATAACGCGTCGTGGGCAGTAGGCCTTATTGATTTTATCAACATCTTCCATATTAGTTACATGACTTCCACTATTGAATAGGTATGTATATCTGCCTCAATGGCTACCACACCAACCAGTTGTAAGCGATCTGTGACCTTGATCAGGTCTTCTTAAAGTCTTTTATCTTCTGACTGTTCACTGGTCACCCTACTCCAATCAGTCGATATTATTTAATGGATTTTCGACTTTATATCAAAACAGTAAAGCTATATTATGTTCACATACCTGTTAAACCAGTCGTCCGTATATCTGGGATAGGGAAACGGATCGTTGCTGCTGAAGTCATATGAAGCCTCTGCGTTCTACGACAAACAAAAGAAGAAAATTAGTTACAAACATATTTTTATTTAGAGGTACAAATATTTACCCCATTTCAATACCTTATAGGTATTGTTGACCCCATTCAAATAGAAGCTTGAAGCGTTTCGCTCCAAGCTTTCTTGTGCGTACTGCTAAAGAGTGGAATTCTTTGCCAGAAACTGCATTTCCTGAAGGGTATAACCTGGGAGTCTTCAAGGCCCGAGTGAATAGGTTGCTTATAGGGACGACGTGCTCCATCGTAGACCGCATCATCGCTTACCATCAGGCGAGGTAGTGGTCAAACGTCGCCCCATTAAATAAAAAAAATAGCTTGCACAGAAATAGACCCAGAATACTTTTTACCTCGGTAACGCAGACGAAGCCGGTATCAGAACCCAGTTTACATTAAAAGAAACTATTTCCATATTCTTTAAAAGAAACTTGATTTTTCTAACATAAAATGTTGTGACATTATTTTTTCCTTCTTGGAAACAAAAGCATAATTTCTTTCTTTTAGTAGGTACGATAAAATTCTAAAGATATGCCAGTTAAGTACCTTCAGAACATTCAACAAACAACAGGCACGGTTTGCAAAAGTTTTTGTTTAAAAATTTCCAAACAAACATTTGTTTCGACTGAACAATTCGAGGCAAACAAAACAACAGTCGTATTTTTAAGAGTTGTTTTATAAAAACATGGAAAAAATATAAAACAATTTTAATTTATTACATGACGGAGTTATAGGGAGCTGAGGAAGACCGTGAACGGTGTTCTGTGTGAATATGTTACCTATGAAAATAACTAAAAAGATAATAATTATACCAGAGAATTTAGAACATCTGAAAAATTATAATCGTTATGATTTGTTTCTGGTACAAAGACCATATCTTAGGACCTTGGTAATAGAGGAAGTCTCCACCATGACTGGCATCGGTAGATGTCCAGAACCTAATTACTTTAACAGCGAGACACCCACATGCTCATCACAAGGTCTCTTAAAAGGACCATCAATTCAAGGACATCAAGGACTTTACAAGTGTGGGAGAGCCATGATTTGGCACGAATGGGCCGGCTCGACCGGAGTGATACCACAGCCTCACAGAAAACCGATGTGAAGCAATGCTTGCGTTGTGTTCGTCGTGTGAGTGAGGTTACCGGAGGCCCAATTACACACCCCTTAGCCAATCTACCCAATTCCTATATCCCCAACGATCCTCAAACTCCTAATCCCCAAAAGGCCGGTAACGCACTTGTAACGCCTCTGGTGTTCCAGGTGTCCATGGGCGACGCCGATTGCTCACCGCCAGGTGATACGTCTGCCCGTTAACCGGCTTATGCCATAAAAAAAATCACAAATCAATCTCAGACAAATATAATACAGTAATTGTAAGTCAAATCAATCATTTTAAATAAACCACAAAGGTACTTTTGAAAGTTAAACATTAAAAATTCGTATCTATTGATCGATCCTTTACTAAAACTATTTGCCTATAACCCTTGAAGCGATTAATCCTGACAGTTCCAAATTAGTCATGAACCATATTCGTCAAACTTCAAGTTAGCCTCGACCAGAGTTTAACCAAATTGAGTGAATAACAGTAATTATACATAATCCTCGCTTGATCCTAATGAATTCGTACGCACAGTTAAGCTTAGCATTAAATCAGAATTAAGATTAATTTACTTTGTAATTATTCAAGTTGGGCTTACATAAAAATTCTGTAATCTGGCTGCTAAGTGAGAACTCTGAACGATTTTACGTAATTTTTTTTTGAAAATGTATTAATTTGTGCATGATGGACAATTTGGTAGTTGCTTCGTTGGCCGAGTGGTCGCAAGTGCGACTGCCGGGTAAGAGGTTTCGGATTCGAATCCCAGGGTCGGGTAAAGTATTACTGGGTTTATAAAAATAAATTCAGTCGTAGCGCGGAGTCGGAAATTGTGCCCGGTATATAGCAATAGGCTCACCTCCTCAATAGGAGGTGTTTCCATTTAATCCCCATTTAATTCCCATGTAATCATGGGAATGGGACTCATAACACAAATAGTGAAAAGTCGGTGTTACATTGTACAGTGGCATTAAGTGCCATAATGTGCACCTCTGGCTACCCCTCTGGAGATTTTTAGTTTTAATATTTAACATAAAACATCAACTTCGTCTACACGAGCCCTCAAATCTTTTTAAACTAAACGGGGTTGTATATCTTTTGGTATTTTTTAATTTTTCTGAACCAGACTTTGAATGAACTCTGTGAACGATTATACAACAATGTTGGAAAGAGGGGGGAGATGTGATTGTTTGTTTGTTTGTTTGCATTGAATAGGCTTCGAAGCTACTGCACAAATTTCATTATTTTTAACATTAGAAAACGTACTTGTTATGGAATGAAATAGGCGACTTTTTAATATTTTTTCATTCCCCTTATCTAGAGGATAGCATGAACAGCTAGCTATATAAAAGCTAATTAGCTAAGTACCTAACTAATTTTAATAGTTAGTCTAAAAGTATATAATATAAAAAGCCTATACAATATACTCGTAACGTTATTTCAGCAGAACGAGACCAATTATAAGTTATAAGCTCTGAATGTATATAAATTAAATTCCGTAGTGCTCCAAAAAAGTACAAGTAGCGTACCTTAATTTGACAAAGTTAGAAGACTGAAATTAAATTATATTTTTCAAGTTCACGGACAACGAAGCGAATATTTTCAAAACTTTTAAAGAATACTGTAAGTCGTAATTGAATCTTCGAGGAGTTCTTATAAAATAAGTATTTATAGTGTCGGCGCATTAGTATAGCCATCGACCATAGAGGCGGTGCCGCGCGGGATGGGGGTATAAAAACCCAAGGCTGCGCGCCGCGCTTTTTCATCCACACACGCCGCTAACTCACGCCAAAGCTCTGATTTGTGAATAAACCTACTTAATGTGCAGTCTTCTGTTTTACTTTAAAATAACCCGACAGAGGTACGACAATAGCAAAATAATAAACAATGCTTATGTAACATTAATCTTTTTATTACCTCAAGGAATATGCAAGTGTAGTATCAAAATAAAAATATCACTTCACATCATTTGTGAGCATCTTGTAACAATTCACTTCCAGATACTTGACTGCACGGTTGATGCGGTGGCTGGGCAACAGGCTGCCGTGCAACGTGTCGCGGGTTCGATTCCCGCACGGAACAACACTTTGTGTGATCCACAAATTGTTGTTTCGGGTCTGGGTGTCATTGTGTATGTGAATTTGTATGTTTATAAACGCACCCACGACACAGGAGTAAATCCTAAAGAGGGCAACGTTTTTTAAGAAAAAAAAAAAGATAATGAAAAAACCAATAATATATTTCTACAACCAGTAATCAAACCCAAGACAGTGACAGACACTTCAGTGGCACTCGTAATTACAAGATCATTATGACAAAGGTTTTTCCAAAAAGTAAACTAAAGCAGAAAATACTGCTGTGTCCAAAAGAAAAACTAAAACAAAAAATATTATCATTCAAAAAACACGGTTCCATTTCACCAAGTAAACAAAAAGCGCCTATTTACACGAAAGTATTATTTCGCGCCGAGATTTAAATATTTAAAGATGTTCAGTGCCCGTGAAGATGTTCATTAAAATTCTACCTCTGGAACAAATCTCACTTATCATTTCGTGGAACGGAGCTATGAAAAGCTACACTTTTTATGAGAGATTAAAAAATAAAAATCTTTGTTTAATTCAACGCGTATTTTCGTTAGCAGATATTTTCTTTTTTGTTAATTTCTTGTTAAGCGAATCGTAAAAATGTTTTAGAGATTTTATCTAAAACAAAGATTGTAATTGCTGCAGAGATTTATAGAACAACTTTACTAGTTTTTAGTTCGTTTTTGATATAAACGGTTTACAGTCTACTAGATATTTAACACAGTGAAATAGGTTAGAGGAGATTAGTAAATTACCCCAAATTGAACACAATTTACACTCATCTTGTGACGGTCAAATAGTAGTATTATAATATTCTTACATTAGATTACTATTTTATAGTAACATAACATCACGCCTTTTATTCCCGAAGGGGGTAGGCAGAGTAGCACATTACGGCACTTAATGCCACTGTACAATGTAACACCCACTTTTCACTATTTATGTTATGAGTCCCATGTAATAGGGGGTGAGCCTATTGCCATATACCGGGCACAATTCCAGATTCCGTGCTACTACTGAGGTTTTTACAAACCCAGTAATACTTTCCCCGACCCGGGAATCGAACCCGAGACCCCTTGTTCGGCAGTCACACTTGGCGACCACGCGGCCAATGAGGCAGTATTTTATAGTAAATACTTACATAATTATACTTCAAATCTGGATGCATGTAATCGACACCTGAAACAAACAGACTTTATTTAAACACACTTTATTTATAAATAACATGATATTGATAGTTTGTTACAGTGTAACATAACATAACACCACGCCTTTTATACCAGAAGGGTTAGGCAGAGAAGTAACACCCACTTTTCACTATTTATGTTATGTGTCCGTGTTATGCGGGGCATATTTCCAGACTCCGTGCTGCTACTGAGATTTTTTTATTAAAACCCAGTAATACTTTGCCCGACTCGGGAATCAAACCCGAGACCCCTTGCCCGGCAGTCACACTTGCGGCCACTCGGCCAACGAAGCAGTCTGTTACAGTGTACTGCACTCCTAATTCGAACCAAGTACCTTCGTGAGATCAGCCACGTTAACAGGCACTGAACCAGCTTCACTCAACATACATTTTATAAAAAAAGTGAACGATGAGCGACAAAGTAATGTGTTATCTTTTCCATGTCACAGGCAACATTAATTTAGATTTTTTTATTAAAAATGTAAGAAACGGAGTGGTTCTGTTTAATATATTCATTTTCGTCCCGTCATATGACTTAATTACGTTATCTTAATTATTATTCATTAAAAAAGGCAACACGAGTAATGTTCTAAGAGACGGTAAATTAGCTTTTTCTAAAACCTCTTGTGTTTAAATTGAAAATGTTTATTTAACATTTTATTTTTAGGAAAAACATGTTATAATGTGTCTCTAGCGAAACTCGAGAGGAATAGGATAGAAATTGTTCTGTGAAAGTCTAAAATAAACTTTTACAAAGATCTCCTTGATCGTTTTATATAAGTAGGTATCTAGAACAAATTCGATTTTCATTTTCCAGTGAACTTTTACTTTCATTTCGCCTTTAGTACTTAATTCAGAAACGCCTACTTACATACATGTTTGTTCAAACAAATAAAAACATTAGAAATTCGCCAATGTATCTTGTTTATTTTCTTCTTCTTCAAGTGAAATAAGACCAAGATTTATCAGAGAGGCAATTTCAGAATATATGTTATCGTATAATTATTTTGTAGCCTTATGGTGTAGACAGAATAGAAATATAATTGGGATGATGACAGGGTATGAAAATTAAAAACCTAATTAGTCCGTAAGTTAAGTAATGAAAAAATATTAGACACGTATTTTGTCGTATAATATAACAATACTTAGATAAAACGAATCAAAGTTTAGGATTTGGGGCTAAAACGTCATTGCTACGTATAAAATGTACATAGAAGTGACGTATTGCGACATTTCAAATCAATATATCGCCGAAAGTATTCGTTTCTGTAAGAAAATAAAAAATATGTGTCTAATGATTTAAAATAATCTACCAGACGGACATTAAAATAAAAATTAGGCATCTACCCTATTATTCTTCCTGCGAGTGCCAAGAACCGATTAAAAGACATCTGATAGCAGAGTTCTCTTATAAACCTGAACCTTTTAATCCCTGATCGCCCACCTTCCATAGTCAAACATCGAGATGGAAAACCTACTTATGTATGATGGAAACTTTGAGAAACTTCGAAAAAAGACTGAAATGGAGATGGGCAGGGCATATTATCAGAGGGTAAGAGAAGTGGAGCAAAATCGTAACCAGTTGGTACCCCAGGGAAGGAACCAGGAAAAGGGGTAGACCTCTTAAAAGATGGAATGATGACCTCAGGCAAGTGGCAGGAGTTACCTGGCACAGAGTAGCTCAAGAACGAGATGAATGGAAAAGGTTGGAGGAGGTCTTTGCTGACCGGCAAACAGACCTCCAGAAAATAAGTAATAGGTATTTTATAGATACTACACCTAAGTCTAAATTATTTAACAGTTATTAGTTGGATCTAAATAAAGGGTTATTACAGCTGGACTATCACAATCATTAACTTCAAGTAAACAATATTGAACTCACCATCATCCATTATAGCAGTTGTAACATTCACCCCCGTATACCCTTGAGCCCAGGCGGCTTCAACGTTCAAATCCAGTTTAGGCTTCCCCCCATTTTGTCCCGTATTCTTCAAGTACCATTGTAAGGGGAAATAGGGGTCACGGGGTTCAGCAGCGGGCGCTGGCGCAGGTTCCGGTAGCCTTAAGGGACGAAATCCCCTCTTTACTCTCTTAAAACCGGTCTGTTGTACTGCTGTGTGAACCTGTAGACAAAAAAAATATTGTAGTTACACTACATTGTATTTTGACTCGATCAGATTTGGGGAAAGTTCTGAAGAGACGCGACTGCTGGGCAAGGAGTCTCGGGCTCGATTCTCACGTCGGGCAAAGTATTACTAGGTTTTTAATTCTCAGTAGTAGCACGCATTCTGGAACTGTGCCCGGTATATAGCAATAGACTTTTATTATGAAAAAGTCTAAATGAGTCCCCTAACAACACTTATTCATACTAAATGCGACTAAATAATTTGAATTTATGATTTTTTCTAGGCGTATAAGCAATTTTGTAACATCTACGAATATTTTTTTAAATTTCTTTAAGTTATTTTGTATCTTATCCCTACAAAATTATGAGTCAAAATAAGTGGTAATGAAGTGTAACGGTGTAGGAAGCTACATGGGCGTAATGTTTTTATTTTGTGTTTAGGGAATATTCTGTTATTGTTCTCCTGTTCATGGTGGGTGAGGTTACATTACAGGTTAATTAATTCTACCTACGCCATTGTATCATAATACCAGCAGAAAGTATTGTTTCAACTGTTTTCAAAACAATATTCTAACATAAATAAGGTTGTTTAAACGTCCATTTTTGTTTTGGATAAGATTCTTACTCAATAATGATGTTGGTGGAATATGTTTGTACTTTTATACTATAATTTAGACTTAACTTTTTGTGACGAAAATATATTCAAAACATTAGGATATTAAAGATGGTTATAAGTTACTTTTTTAAATAATAATACGTAAATAATTATTAGAGATATTAGAAAAATACGTAAGTTGACTTTGTAGTCTCTTTATGCATTCTTCATTTTTATCAAATCATTGCAGTCAAAATGTCAAGAAACATACAAAAACTTTCATTTCCCCATAACAAAACATAAACCTATATTAAAATGACATCATAATGAATAAAGCAACAAGGAACCCAACACAAGAAAACAGAAAACTATGCACAAACAGAACAATAAAAACTTAAAATTAACAATATTTTACACGAGTTCCGAAACTACAAGCAACACAAAGCGAAACAAAATTAATAACGTTTCACGTGAAACTGACTTTCAGACACTTGAACTACTTTTCAGGAAAATATATCAAGGACCTGTTCAAACTTCCTGAAACTGCTTAAACGACTTTTGTCCTCCATGTTTAAACGAACAACTTGTTAAGTTTTGTATATAAGTAGGTTTAAATTTTACTTGGTCGTGCAAACGCTTAATTCTCAAATCTGATGCGAACCTAAATGCTGTTGAACAAGACAAACTTAAGCAAGGGTCTTATAATTATAAATAACTAGAAACTAAACTATTTACACCTTTTAAAATGACCTTAAAAAATAAATGTCAGTAATCAAAAAAATGTTTCGTTATCTTGAGGTAGGGCGCCCAACAGAATGGCAGCGTTGCCACGTTGAATGCCAATGCTTAACAATATAAATATTTTTGTTTTCAGTTATTTATAATATGAATATTAGTTTATCATAGTGACATATTTATAATTGACTTGTAGTATTAGTATTAATGTAAATTATAAAAGATTTATTATTATATAGTACTTGTAGCATAACATAACATCACGCCTTTCATCCCCGAAGGGGTAGGCATAGGTGCACATTATACCACTGTACAACGTAACACCCACTTTTCACTATTTATGTTATGAGTCCCATGTAATAGGAGGTGAGTCTATTGCCTTGTACTTGTGATATTGTAAATGAAGCTCTATGATTAATTATAAAATCATAATCTTCTCCGGCTTGAACTAATTAACCTTTGTGTTATCTCGAGCTTTCAGAAAGGTTTTGAATTACTGATAGACTACAGAACGCTCTTATAAACAAGTATCATGTAACCAATGGTATGATTAAAGCAAATGTTACTATGTATTTAATCGACTTCGTTTAAATGTATGTTATTCTAATTTCAATTCAAATAGATGTCCTAGATGTGACTATCTATCGATGACTATGGGTTAAAACCTAAGCCAAGCTCTATCTAAAAACAAGACAGCACAGCTAGTCAGAAGGCATTCACTTTTAAATTCAGCACGTACACTCACAAATAACTTTCAGACTGAAACAGAGTTTAATTCCGACGCAGCATATGTTCCCGACAGCTGTAAGCACTTCAGAGCTGAAAATCCCCCACTTTACATGAAGAATAAAACGACAATGAGTCCCCAAAGTGCTGGTTTTGCGAACCTGCACTAGTGAATGAACTTTCTATATTGATTTTACCCAAAGGGACCCTTTTGACCACGCTGAGTACATTTTCTGAAACGCTTTTGTTGAAAACTCCTTATAAACTTCGGATACAATTTCTAAAGAGGTTTCGTTTGCTCTTAAAAGTGAATCATTGTGGTTTATTCCTGTCGTTTGACTTGATTTTATTTTCAGTTTGTTTTGGATTCCAATTTTAAATATGAATCGATAAACTATTTAAAAGTAAACACAATCAGTATACAGAAGCACTTTACATAATATTACATGAAGGTTAACGTACATACAAACAACATACTGAAAATTAACGTAATCATGTCAACAAGTAATATCCTGACACGATTTAGTTGCTACGCGCTACGATCGCTACGGGCTACGAGCTACGAAATGCTACAAAGTCTACGTGAATCTTCACAAGGGATAAAATTGCCTAGTCGTTTAATATCGAAAATAATCTTAACTTTCTTTGTATACCAAAATAGAAGCTACAAAGTAATAAAAGCAACAATTCATCCAAATATATGAACTAAAGATTAAGATAAATCTTTCCTTCTATTAAATTCTTGCAAAATTTACAATATTTGATTATTTAATAAGGTCCAAACATCTTCAAAATTCTTAGAGGTTATAGCGATTAGTATTCGACTGACACCATCTCGGGGATAAATGGGTTTTCGGGAAAACTGATTAATGTGCCCCTCAACTTGACCCAAATATAACCTGGCACGTGCCACTGAATACATTGTCCACATTATAACACAATAAAGCCTTCTTAGATATATTTTTCCGTATATTTATTCACTCACTCACTTATGGAAACCTTTTGCCGTTGTCATGGCAACTGTGATAGTTATTGCGATACTTTAATAGATTTTTGTCGATATTTTTGTGTGAAAGCCTTTGTAGGAGATGGGATGTTTTTCTATTGATAGGTGAAAGTTCGATTAATAGTGACCTCAGAATACATATTAGTGTCTAGACTACTTTAACCAATATTACAATAATTTCTATTCTACATAGCACCAGCATATCACATTTCCTAAGTCTACATTTGCACCATAGGATATTACTGATGAACCAACCTAGTCTTTTTTTTAAAGGAGAAAATCATTTAGTGACTTCTCCGATCTCGGGCGATGCGAGAAGGATTATCAGACTCTTACGCCTGAATACTGAAATACTACTCAATTTTTAATTTATTCTTATCTATCATTTTACAAAGAATTTTAATGACAGTACTTTTCTTGAGAATATATTTACATTTGAGCATTTGACCATTACTGATTAAAAACAACCCTGATCCTACAAGTGTTACGGAGCCCCGGTAACCTAGTTAGTTCGTTCTACTCTGTCGGTTCAAAAGTATTTTTATTAATACTGAAATAAGTGCTTTGACTTTTACCTGGACAAATTAATCGACTACTTATTCGTATCGACTCATATATATACCAACGTACTAGATATCGATGACTTGTTTCAGTTCCAGTTTGTAATTGTCACAACCGTCAATCGCCTGTCGTGTTAGCTGTCGAAAGTTCGATTCTATTTTGAACACAGATATATTTGTCGCCGGAGAAGCAAGTCGTATATACATAATTATACAATATATAGGCGTTTATATATTTAAATGGAGATTTTGTTTACAATAAAAGGTGATAATAATAAAATACATTTTCATTTCTTTTACACATTAACTCGTCGAGTACCGGTTTTATAGACACAATTAAAGAACAATAGGTCGCGGTCACCGGTGACCGCTTGGTGTTTGACAGTTTAAGGTTTTTTTTAAGGGAGGAAAATCATCGAATGACTGCTCCCGCCTGGGTGAGGCAGGAGGGAGTGTCAGACTCTTACTGACTAAAAACCATTCCGTTCCTTCTCTTACACGTCGAGCCGGAACCCCGGTTACTGGTTAGGTTCTCAAATTAAGGTTTAGGTTCGTTCTAAGACTATAATATACTACAATATAGAATAAGTAAGATTTATTAGTTTCCACAGACTTGCTAATCTTCAAAAGTCATTCAAATCTATTCCAATTCATTATGTCTATTATAAATACAAGAAATTCATAAGTTCGACATTCCTTTGACAAGTTCGATTAGTTTTTATTCGGTTATAGTGGCACTTAGAAGTGGGTACTTCAATTATTAATAGAAAGTGTCAAACCAATTTTGATATTGGAAACTCTCGGATATTTGATTTAACGGACTTAGAAATGTTGAAAGTCAAATATAACTGAGTAAGTAACATTTTTAGTATATAATTATACATAATACTGTATCATTCATCAACAGCCTATAAATACACGGAGAAGGTTTGAGCATTGATCACCACGCTTGCTCAATGCGGGTTGACGATTACAAACTTATGATTAGAAATTATAAGTCCAGGTTTCCTCACGATGTTTTCCTTCACTGTTTGTCAGTAGTGTCTGAATAATCTTAATACTGTATACCAAAAGTATTTACAATCGAAATATATGTATGGAGACTGATAATTAATCTAAAATACTTTAAGGTAGAAAGTACAAAGAGCAAGAATAAAAAAGAGAAAATAGAACAACAAAAATTACGTTAACTTTTATTACAAATACCTACAGACAATAGACAAAAAGGAACAGAATAACTAAAATCAAAAACAGAAATGCTTCGATAAAAGTGTTCAACATTTTTATCAATAAAAAGAACTACGTGTCTACAACGCAACAGAAAAATATCGACACGCCAGTTGTTCGAAACACGTAACGCATATTGGAAAACTGTC